CGCCTCCACTGCTTCCCCCACCGCCCCCTCCACCACCCCTGCTTCCCTTGCCCTTGCCGGTGCGGCGACGCCCACTAGAGGCAGACGCAGCGCCGACCTCCTCAGTGCCAACGAGGTCGTCTGCAGCAGTAGAGGCAACAGAGGGGAGAAGGGGGACAGGGGAACACCCCTCAAAGAAGGGGGTGCGACGGTCGCCGCGAGAAGCACCGACAGCTAAGATACTCTTCTCAGCTGCAGCAAGGCGCTCCTCTGGCAAGTCGACAGTCAGCTTGGTGGGGCAAAGGGAGAGAAAGTGGTCCCTGACTGAAGAGAGAGAGTCAGGGAGGCGGGTGACTAGGTAGTAAAGGGTGATGTACATGGGGGGGGAGTTCGTGGGAAGGAACGTAGTGGGAAGGGCAGCGCGGTAGCGGGCGTCACTGGTGCGAAGGTGAGCAACCAGGTCAGCAACTGTGGCAAAGGCGGCAAGGTCAGGAAAAAGGTACGGCAGCATGAGGCGGCTGAGGGCAGCAGTGGCAGGGGAGGAGTAGCGTGCAACTACAGCGTCGTACAGAGTCTTAGCACTCTTGTACTGACTAAAGTGCGCGCGCTCAGTAGACGGTAGGTGACTACGCACAGCAAGGCGGGCAGCAGCATCGCGCGTGGTCCACTGCGAGCGAACAGTACTGTCAGCATCAGCAGCAGGGGCAGTAGAGGCGCCAGACGTGAGATCGAACAGTGAGAGACCATCCTTGCTATCGCACTGTAGGAAAAGCTGCAGATCATCTAGCCAGACCTCAAAGTCAACTGCTCGACCCTCAGCATCAAAAGTAAGAACACTGAGACTAGTCATGACAGGAGGAGCAGGAGGCTAGCAGCAGCAGCGCAACTCAGCTAAGCAGGCTAGGCAGGGCAGCGCGGCTCGGCAGGGCGGCTCGACAGGGCGGCGCGGCTCGGCGGAGCGCTTACCAGGGGCGAGGCCGGGGCAGGGCCGGGGGAGGGTCGCGGCAGGACTGCGACAGGTCCGGGGTAGGGCCGGGCCGCAAAAGATCCGGGGCCAGGCCAGGGCAGGGCCGCGACAGTGCAGGAGCAGGGCAGGGGCAGAGCCGGGGCAGGGCCGGGGCAGAGCCGAGGCCGGGCCGGGGCGAGGCCGCGACAGGTCCGGGACAGAGCCGCGACAGGGTCGGGGTAGGTCCGCGACGGGGCCACGACGGGGCCGGGGCAGGGCCGGGGTCGGGGGAGGTCCGGGACGGGGCCGAGACAGGGTCGGGGCAGGGCCGGGGTCGGGGCAGGTCCGGGACGGAGCCGCGACAGGGTCGGGGTAGGGCCGGGGTCGGGGCAGGTCCGGGACGGGGCCGCTACGGGGCCGGGGAAGGGTCGGGGCCGGGCCGCGACGGGGCCGGGGCAGAGCCGGGGCAGGGCCGAGGTCGGGGCAGGGCCGGGACGAAGCCGGGGAAGGGCCGGGGCCGGGCCGCGACAAGCGACGGGAGGGGGAGGGGCCGTTACGGGCCGGAAAGGGGGGGGCCACTATGGGCCGCGAAGGGGCCGCGCCGGGCCGTGAAGGGGCCTAACGGGCCGCGAAGGGGCCGCTACGGGCCGCGAAGGGGCCTTTAAGGGCAGGCGCGACGCGCGCGTCGGGCAGGTAAGGAAATTTTTTTTTTTCAGTGGTGGGCCCTTAGGAAAAATTGAACTAGCTCTATACCATGTGAGAGAATTAAGGAATGAGTGGATGAACTAGAAACGAGGTGGGTACAAATAGAGAACACAAAAGTGTTGTACCCTCTAGGAACTACCCCACTACAGCCTAAACAGACTATAGCATATATAAGTTTGACAAGAAGGGGAGAGGGGGAAGGAGGAGGAGGAACATGTTACAGTTGACGCTGGAAAGAGCAGGGCAGTGCCTCCCTTACCCCCTTACCTCCTTCCCCCACCTCCCACCCCCCCCCCTCCCCCCCCTCCCACATCCCCCCTCCCCCCCCCACCTCCCCAAGGGTTTTTTTTTGCCTGCCTGCAAGAACGTCAACCACCGTCAATTTTTTTCAGCGGGGTTGCGACCAGCGTAAAAAATGCTGGCTCCGTCAAATCCATCTAGGGCCAGGACTTTAGATAAGCCCGAACATATATGCATGAAGAAAAGAAAGCTTGTTGTTTCATTCGAGATTCTTACAGTCTCACAAGAGAAGTGAGCGAGGAGATGCTATTAGGAATAGACCCCCCAAAAATCGGGGGATCCCAATTTGAATTCAAATATATGCCGCACAAAGTTCTGTGTGGGTGGTTGGATTAAAAGAAGAGAGAAGAAAATTGGACGGGGTCACAAATGAAGTGAGGATTGGGAACAAGTGGTATCAAACATAACAAATCCTGTTGCACATCAATGGCATGGTATGAGATCCAAAGAAAAGCAAACATACACTCACATCTCGGTGATCATGCCTGAACCGTCACACATGAGACCTTCAGCATTGGCACAGTCAGCACCAACTTCCCAGTTTACAAACGTCTGATTCCAGGCCTTTTGACTGTCTCTGAGAAATACCGCTGGCAGGGCACAAGCAAGGAGAGAGACGAAGGGAGGCACAAGGTAGTGAGCAGGTAGCACCTAGCAGGTGCATTACTTCGTTTCTAAGATGTAGAAATACTACTGCTGAGATGTACAAATACTGCTGAGATGTACAAATACTGCTGAGATGTACAAATACTGCTGAGGTGTACACATACTGCTGAGATGTACAAATACTGCTGAGATGTACAAATGCTGCTGAGCTGTACAAACACTGCTGAGCTGTACAAATACTACTGAGATGTACAAATACTGCTGAGATGTACAAATACTGCTGAGATGTACAAATAATGCTGAGATGTACAAATATTGCAGAGATGTATAAATACTGCTAAGATGCACAAATACTGCTGAGATGCACAAATACTATTTTCACATGTTATGGATAAACAAGAACGTCCTTCTGATGATGTGAGCCACAGATCTAGCAGCTGTGAGGCTTGAAGTGCAAGTGAGGCAAGAATTTAAATGCATTGCAGCAGTGCAAACCACATGCGCATACTCAGTGCTGCCTCCTGTGAACTGAGATACGTGCTAGTACTACGGGGAGTTGAGTAACTTGAGAAGCATTTGTCGGTATCACCTACACCTGTGCTGGCGGGCTGCTATTACTTTAGGTAGAATTACTTCTAGTTGTATACTTCAGCACCCGTGAGACGAACTGAGGGAGCAAGGAGGTACTACCTTGAGAAGCGTTGATCGGCTGTGCATCGCACGGCGCGAAGACGAACCCGGCAGCCCAAAGCACGGCGGCGAGCGCAAGCCATGCTCGTGGCTGCATCAGAGGGTTTGGCGGCGGCATTTGCGGTGTCGACGTGCGTCCACAGTCTCTAACGGATATGTTACACCACGAATTACCTATAGTCGTATTGTGGAACGTTAACTTCTACTACGGGAAACAAGTCAAATGCGGAGTGGGTTGAGAAAGTGAGTTGCCTCATCAATAAAATGCGTTGCCACTGACGATGATGCGTGGGGAATGAGTCTGGGAGGAGGAAGAAAAGGGGTGGGCCGTCGCTGCACGCGCACCTCAATTTTAACCTGGAAACACCGCAGCAGACCCAGACAATGGGGGCGCTCAGCATGAGCGCGTGCTATCATGATTATATTAGTCCTGAGGAACAAACGTGAGAACCTACCATGCTTCCAGCATGCTAACTCTTGACTTGAGAGACGTGCTGCACCCTGCTACAGTATTTCTGAGCAATCATAAAAGGGTTCCAGCATGGATTTTGCTACTTGGCATAATAGGGCAACTAGTCTACATGACAAGACTGCGTCGGGAGGATATACCTCAGCCGACGAAAACTGCCGCCCAATTTCGCGGTTGCGATAGGACAACGGCCCTCCTCGGGATTGACGAACTCCCGACGACTCCGAGTGGCAAACTGGGGCGAAATGGCAGACCTGACACCTCGGGACTGTCGACGATCTGACGACCTCGGGTTTCGCTGAGGTAAACCCGAGAAGGACATCTCAGCGGACAAAAACTCACAGCACGACACGTCGAGCCGCGATTTCAGCGCGGGAACTCCACTGCGCGCCCAAATTTGTCGGTGGCCGATCCACGCGGCGAAGATCTGTCCGTCAAAAAATGTTACAGTTGTCTGGCATCGCGAGCTGCTCGCCATGTCGGTGTCGACTAAGGATCCAACGGGATTGTCCGGACCACGAAAGTCGGCGTCGACCACGAGGGCTCACGGTGGGCTTGCCACGCGGCTCTTCAATAACTCCGTGCCCTTAGGCAATGGAAGTCGGCATGTCGGCGTTTCTGCGTAGAGGCACCAATGATGGGCCCACGCCACGTAACGCACGCACATACCACCGTGGACGTGCCCAGGCTTATGCCCCGTGAGTGCAGCGCGGCGACCCATTAGCCATGCATGGCTCGTGGCACGTCGGACACTGCGCCGCCGCACGAGAACACATGCATAGCGGCACAAGCATAGGGGGTTGCGTGAAGCGCGGCAAAATCAGGAGTCGCTCACGACCATACCCCTCCGTGACCTTGCGCTGGTGCTCATTCCATTGTGCGTTCCTGCGTTCCTTCCTGCTCCCTCTTCCACTTTGAATTTTCCTCTCCCTAGCTATCTTCGCGAGTGTGGGTTACTCGTGCGCCGACCAATCGATCACGTCGGCACCGGTAGCGTGTTTAGGTAACCGATCACAACTAACTAGGTCGGCGACGCATGTCCAGAGCACGGCCTAGAGCCCAACAGCCGCAACCCATCCCACCCCCTGCCGACTCTGTAGACGCCGACATCAAAGCACAGCTGGAACGCCTCGAGCTCGCCGCTGAGTTAGAAGCACTTGAGAGAGAATCCGACGAAGACGCCTGAGCAACTCATCGGGTGTACACCGCACCTGCGACTCAGTACCGTCTCTGGTGGTCCATCCCTTACCTCGAAGACGGTCGACGGTATAGCAAACTACGAGCGGCCTCATGGCAGACGTCGACATGCCCGACGTTGGTCCCCCAACCGACCACATTGACACCTCTACCCCCGAAGAGACGCTCAAGTTACTCTACGATCTTGACGCACTGACACAGATTCCAGAAGGGGAGTTCACCAAGGACATTCCTCCACCGCCGATAGGAGAGTTTACCAAGCCAGCTAGTAAGTCCACACCGACGCAAGATGGGCAGCCTGGACCTTCGTCGGTAACGGGCAGCTCAGGAAACCAGGTTGATGATGAGGAGGAGGAGGAGGAGGAGAGCGACGACGAATACGACGAGCATCCTCCGCGTAGCACGAATCCGCGCACCTTGGAAGAACGCCTCCGGCGGGAACTTGAATACATAGATGACATGCTAGAACAGGACGAGGACGAGGACGAGCAGAACATGGCGGTGCCACGCGAACAGTGGAGAGCAGCAGAATTCGTCGAGGACGACATGGTGTACGCAAGCATCGACGTGCTGGTCATAGACGCCCTACGCCACCTGCAAACCTTGGAGAAGAATAGCACGCTGAGGCTGTACACCTCGTTCATCTACCATTACAAGAGGTGGGCGGCGAAAATGCTGACGCAAATACGCGACAAGCTTCCCCAGGAGCACAGGCTTAGGCACGTCGACGAGATCGGCCACTACATCCGGGACAACAAGAAGAAGAATTGGGACAAAGTGGCCGAGGTCCCCCGAGAGTACATCTGGCTGCACGGCCCTAGGGTAACCGAAACCCGGCTGCGCGCCTATGTGAAGTTCATGATACGTGAGTGTCAGCTCGATGCCGAGTCGATCGAGGAGGGGAACAATGCCCCGCGAACCCAGCCGGTGCAAGGTACAACGGTGCACACGCTCCTCGGGCGCATAAAGGCATGCCAGATGGCGGCGAGAGTGGAGGCGACGCTCTACCGGGAGAAGGAGCTGAGCATCATGCGGGAGATATCGGTGGTCAGATCGGAGGTGCGGTTCATGGTCCGCACCAAGAACGAGAGGGACGTCAAGTAAGTTTGTCGACACCGCCAACCTCTGTCCATGTCACTATGAAGTCGACGCCGTCAAACTCAAAATACTCGGTGGCTTTGTGGGCAGGAATTGTGCCGACCGGCGTCGCGGCACCATCGGCGATACATACACCGCCGAACAGTTCCGCCAGATCATGATGAAGGTGCTGCCGACATGGGCGGCGTCGGCGTGGAACCCGCGGGCAACCGCTCCTTCGCAGACGCTGTGGCGATTTCTGCTCACCAAGGCGCTCACGCTACTCTCCCACCACACTCTCCTGCGAGGCGCCAGCATCCGCGAGATCACGCTCCCCGACATCTTCTTGTACCGACTGGCTAGCACCTCATCGATAAACCCGGAGAACCAGCCGGTCGTCATGGTGATCGCCGCGCGGAACTCGAAGACTTCCAAGGATGCCCGTCTTCAGCAGAGCTACGCGGCGCGACACCTGGAAGCGGAGTTGTGCGCCGTCGGCGAGACCGGCCTATGGTTGCACTTCATCCTCGACCAGATCGGTCAGTTCAACGGCGTCGACTTCCTTCCGCCACTTGACACCACCGAACGCGAGCGCTGGTACAAGAAGCACCTCTTCTTCGCCCGCAACGACAAGGAGCAAAAAGAGCTCTCCGCCTCCAGCCACCAACGTTGGACGCGGCAGTTGTGGACGACCAACAAGGTGTTCTGCAAGCGGAACGTGCACGCCGCTCGCGCCGGAGGTGCGCAGGAGCTAGCCATTGAAGGGACGCCTCGCGCCGAGATCGCCGAGCTGGGTCACTGGGCACTCGACAAGATGACGCGTGCTTACATCACAGCCATTCCCGTTGGGGTGGTGATGAAGAAGGCCGGCTACTCGGGTTGCAAGCAAGACTACTTCTTGGGTCGCAGCAGGGTCGAGCCCTCCGACAAACTCTTGGACATCATCGCCGAGCACATCTTCCCCGGCGTGGATGCTCTGCTGCGTGATGTATGTTAATAGACGCCGACAATGACCTTACGTCGCCATTGCTTCGTTGGCTGCCCATCGCCTTACTAACCCACATCACCTGCCGATGTGCAGGCGGAAACGCGAGCTGCCAAAGAAGGGAGCGATGCCGACAAAGCCGCCGTGCACTTCTGGCGTACCCTCCAGATGATGCGCCGCATCGTCGCCGAGGACCTCGCGGTGAAGCTCGTCCGCACCCCTTGGCACCCGTACGTCCAAGGTTCGAAGCTCTGCCGGATTGCCCTCTTTCAGCACTGGGCGAAAAGGGTCGAGAAGATCGACACCGAAACGATCAACAAACGCCGGGACCCAACCCTCATTCAGGCAGAGGTAAACCGTCACTAAAGTCGGCGTCGTCGGGACCCTAACTGTTACGGGTGTATTCTAAACAATTTTCGCCTTTCCACCTTGTGCTGCAGGAAATCTCTGTTCGCTTGGACACCGAATACCATAACATGTCCCTCAAGGAGACGCTGAAGTACGAGAGGGAGCGCGCCGCGGTCGAGAAGATCGACCTTCAGGATGAACTCGAGAAGCGCGACGATACCATCGCGACGCTGACCGCCGAGATAACCCGTCTCACCGAGGCACTCCGTGTGTCAGAAGCACGGAGGATGCCGGAGACGCCGCCGTCGGGGAACGAGCAGACGCCGAGCGAGAGTGGCTCCGTGGATTCGGCCAGTCCGGGGGCCAGAAACAAGAAACGGTACGAGAAACCCCCACAGACGCTCGACGAGTCTCGTTACGAGCTCAGCGTGGTGCAACCTTGGCGGGAGTCAAAGACCGTGAGGGACGCTTGGCGCCTCTAGAACTCCGCCACCGCCGATGACACCCGCCGTCTTTGCGATAGGGTCGCCGAGCCGGGATTCGTCGACCGCCACACCCTCCTCAAAGGCGCGACGCAGGGTGCACACGACATGAAGGTGCGCCGCATGCTGAAGGCCATGGATGCGGTGCGCCTTCTTCGCTCGAGCGACGGCGATGCCGACACCGAAGCCGTCGTCGCTGCCCTGAACAAGATCGTGGCGCCGGGCATCGGGACCTTCTGCAATGCCCTCACGGTGCTCAAACCGGGAACCGCACCGACGAAGTCCAAGGAGCCCGGCATGGGCGTCAAGGGGCTGGGCCCCAAGTCGGTCTCGAAGCTACGTCTCGCCTGTGCGCTGGTGGCGGTCAACTTGAAGCCGACCGCTTGGGTCGCCGTCCTGTTTCCAGACACCTGGGAGGAGCAGATGCCGAAGACCGTGGCGGACATGGAGCGGCAGACCGCACCTGTGCTGCGTCCTCCGACGAAGCGCAAGAAGGCGGCATGAGTACCTTCGGAGCATATGCGTGCGCGTAGTTTGATGATGCTGTAATTGTGGTCGATTGCACCAAACCATGATGCTTATTTTGTTCATGAAGTTGGTAAACGATGGTCATACAACAATGCCCATGCGAACATAGATGATCCAACAATGGTAACTGCAGTCGGTCGCCGACCAACAAACACCCCGAAAATACTTGCAGACAGCCAAACCCTCTATGTCGACAGACATCCAACGACGCCGACGTATTTTCGGACTCCGACATATACGCCGACAAAAATTCATCCCCGAGTAGCATTTGAGTGTGCAATTCAGAGGGTAGCGATCAGGTCGACATCTCCGACGAGGGTTCTACATGTCATGCACTACCAAAAAGTTACATGCGCTACCACATAAGCAAACACAAACAAAAAGTTACAAACACTAAAAAGGTTACAAACACACTAGCAATCAGACCACCTCGCGCTCCCTCCGCGCGCCGACTACGCCGCCGTGCTGTCCTTGCCCTTCTTGCCCTTCTTCCCCTTCTTCCCCATGCTGTCCTTGCCCTGCTTGCCTCTCTGCCCCTTCCTCCCCCTGTGTTCAATGTCGTACTCCATCTGCGCGTCACACGGCACCGCGATGCCGATCTTTTCGAGTTTCGGCCCGGCGACGGGGCACATTCCCCAGAACGCCAATGTCTCCACTGTCGCTCTAGCAATCATGTCGGCTTCGACTTCATGATCCACCCCCGGGTAGACCCGGTGCAGAGCGAGACTCTGCAGCGCCGGCGCGACGTTGTGCGCAACCTCCCCCAGGGGTTGCTCCCGGTCGATCTCGGCCTCCAGCACCGCCTGCATGACCTCCTTGAAGACACCGGCGGTCTTCTCGCTCGCACCGACCACCATCGCCGCCACCTTCCCTTCGCCCACAGCATCGACCACCTGGGCGTCGTCGTTCTCGACTAAGCACCACACGGCGCAAGCGGAGGCCGATAACGCCTGTGCCGCAATCGCCGTCTTCTCATCAGTGTCTCCCTCCTTCCTCGCCGCGCTCGCAGCGACCTGCCCATACGCAGCGCACATGGACACGCGACCTATCATGGCCGACATCATAGCATCCGACTTCTCCTGACCTTCCTTTGTGACGGCATCGACGGGGAACCAGATCGCCGGCAAGAGCGCGTCGTGGTGCGCATCGCCTGAGCTCTTGTACGCTCGATACTGGCCGAGAATGTCATCGAACCTGTCACACAATCACATGAAACCGAGCGACCATTAGTGACTCCGACATCGTCATCAACACTCGGCCGAAAGGGTATCCGACTTACCGTGTTTTTGGAAGGTACGCGCCCCGTGCCCATATCACCGTCCACATCCCTGTCGGCAAAATCTTGACCTCCTCCCACACCATCCTCCACTTCTCCAACTCAGTTTCCTCCAAGCCGGTGAGCTCGGCCATGAGGACCTTGCTGACGTAGCCGTCGTAGACGATGTACGCAATCGAGTGCAAGTACGCCAGCTCCATCTTCTCGCGCGATTTGCCGATGTATCGATTAGCGCCGAGCACCTTAATCTCGCCCACCCACCCAAGACCGTCGCCCGAGTTGTCGTGGCGGATGCCATGACCCTTCCGTCCTTTTCTCCTTCTCCTTCTCCTTCTCCTTCTCCTTCTCCTCCTTCTCCTTCTCCTCCATCTCCTTCTTCTCCTTCTCCTTCTCCGCCGCCTTCTCCTTCTCCTTCTCCGCCGCCTTCTCCTTCTCCTTCTCCTTCTCCTCCGCCTTCTCCTTCCCTTTCTCCACCGACTTCTCCTTCGCCTTATCCCTCCCTGTCTTGGCCGACATCGCCCGTGTTTTCCTCTGAGAGCTCGCCCTCCCTTTCACTGTGTCGGCCTTCCCCTTCCGTTTCGACTCTCCATCGCCACCACCGCTTCCACGTGGTTGCCCAAGGCGGTGACCGCTTTTGCGCGTTCAACTGCCATACTTCCCTCCGGACCGTCGATTTCCGCCAACCACGTCGACGCCTTTTCGGCGAAGGACTTCATCGCCTTCCACGATTCGTCCATGTGGTTGGTGATGTTGTCCGTGATGGTTGTCGACACGGCTGACGTCGCATCTAGCAGCCGTTTTGCCGCATTATGGTCGGAGACGGCGACCTGGTCGGCCAACGACTGGAGCTTGTCGAGGAGTCCCCGCATCCCCAACACAAACCTGTCCACCCGACCCCTTTCATCTTCGAGCGCCTTCTCCATACGGGCTTTTTCTGCCGTCAATCGCCTGTTCTCCTGTCGCAGCTGCTCGACGACGTCCAGCGGTGCCTGCCGACCAGATGCGGAGGAAACGGGATGACCGCGCGCCGCCTTCTTCACCCTAGACCGCTCCCCCCCGGCCTTCCCTGCGGTGGTCTCGGTAGGCGCTTCCACGCCCGTCGGCTTCGTGGCCGCGGCGTTATCCCCTTCTCCAACGACCTCGAGGTCGATAACTTCCTTCGCGTCGCCATCCACATCGCCGACCACGACCTTCTCACCCCCCCCGTGAGCCTCCTCCACGCCGACTTTCTCCTCGTCGGCATCCTCCCCTCCCTTGTTCACAACATCTGCCGACATCCCAGCCGTTTCCGCCGCTCCCTCTACGTACTCCACCTCCATTTCCTCCAACTCCCACTCGACCTCTTCCTCCTGCTCCCCCTCTTGCTGCTTCTCCGCCTCCTCCGCCTCCTCCTCCTCCTCCTCCTCCTCCTCCTCCTCCTCCTCCTCCTCCTCCTCCTCCTCCTCCTCCTCCTCCTCCTCCTCCTCGTCCTCCTCATCCTCCTCGTCCTCCTCCTCCTCCTCCTCCTCCTCCTCCTCCTCCTCCTCCTCCTCCTCCTCCTCCTCCTCCTCGTCCTCCTCCTCCTCCTCCTCCTCCTCCTCCTCCTCCTCACGATCCTCATGGTCCTCTTCCTGATCCTCGTTATCCTCCTGGTTCTTCTCCGCGGTCCCAGTCACCGCCCTTCCCGCCTCCTCATCTTCCTTGTCGACGCCGCCTCCGGGCTCTCCGATCGAAGTCCCACGCGCATCATCGACGGTGTAGGCGACACCTATTGCTGTGGATGCCAAAGGGGCCTCCTCGCCGTCGTCGTCACAGGTGTCGGCAGCAACTCCGACATGGCCCGACCGTTTGAGAGCGACGTGCTCCTTGACGAATGTTATCATCCCATTCCGCAGCCCCTTCAACCCCGAAACGTTGACCTTGTCCATGCTGGTCTCACTGCGACGGATGGCGCCGGTCAGGAGATCCATCCTCCTCACCACCCAGCACAACGCGCTCATTGCTAGCAGGCCGGAGCCCGCGTCCCCGTCCCGGACGGCGTCGGGCACTTTCTGCATACAACAGTTCAGAGCGCAAGGATGAGCACCGCGTTCGGCAATCGCATCGCGCAAGGATGACATAGGACGGTGATTCGTTCGGAACTCACAGCTCGAACGGGTTGATCGCAGTCGGCGAGCCTGTCCTCCACCTCTTCATCGGAAGGCTTCGCCCACTCCCACTTCCTACCATCGCACCCAAGCTCGGCCAGGACCGCCGCCCGGAAAAACCTGAAGCAACATGGCACAGATTGTCGGTAAGCATGGTTTACGCTGCGCGGGTAAATTGCATGCGTCGTCGACTACACTATTGAGCTCACTTCAGCACGCGGATCGCCTCGTCGCGGTGCCACTGCTTCACGGTCTGCGGGTCAAAGTGCCGGATCGAGGTCCTGATCTTCTCCCGCCCACCCTTCAACAGGTCGCCGGGGTACAGGATGACAACGATGCTGCAATGTGCTCCTGGAAGCGGTGCGATGCTGCACAGGCAAGGCACGACGACGTCGTTCAGAACAGAGCACCGACATAGGATGCAACACACATCGTGACTTCTAACCAGCTCACCTCGAAGTCAAGGGGATAACCGCTACGTCGGCGTCGAAAACCGTCGCAAAGCATGTGTGGTCCGCCCGACCCATCGCCGCCCGAAGCCGGCCGAGTCCTATCGACCACAATCGCATGTTGGCCGGCGCCGCGCGAGTCCATGCGTGCCTGCACGCATGCATGGGAATAAGGAGTGAGTGAGTATGTGCACGACACGACGGTGGATACGTTGGTTTAGGAACCGCCGACCGACGGGGATGGCAATCGTACGACGGTGCACCACCCTCGCGACGTTGTAATCAATTGAGCCGACCGATGCGTGCCTAATGCCTGTGCCGACACCGACCTACTGTCGGCGTCGACGTGAACTCGTAGCGCCGCCTCAGACGTGGGACAACCCTAACACCGACGCTGCGTCGACCAGCAATGTAAGAAGATGTCGACGCCGACATCCACATACGCAGACTCACTTGATGCCGAATCCCAAGCAACGGGCGTTGAACTCTAGCCTATGGTCTACGAGGACGGCGTAGTCGTGTTCCTCGAGCTTGGCAGTGAGTCCACTACCGAGGTCGAGATACAGAGGGAAGTCCTGCACGGTCGGCGCCGCTTCGCCGGCTTTCGGGTCGGCCTCCATTGCAATGAAGGGAATTGACTGCAGGCTAAGAAGGGACGAGAGTGTGGGAGTAATGTTGAAAGTGAAACGAGATGCCGAAAATGAGGAGCGATGCCTCCTTCCGCCAAGGAAAGGGAGTCGGTGCCCCACAGGCCGGTTGAGGCATCGCCCAGGGTTCGTGGTGCCTGGCTCGGCAGGGTTTGGCGGGCTGCATGCACAAGCGCTCCTTCGCCGCCGAGCCAGCACGTCGACTTCGCGTCCCCCGGCTTCGCTCGGCGAGGGGACGCAATTTCGCATGCGCGCGGTGCCTCGTTTCGGCTGACACGTGTCGACTTCGCCCCGGATCGCGAAAACCCCGTGCCGCGATGCGAGCGAACCGATTTCGCCGGGCTCAAAATTTCGCATGCACCCGATGCGAACCCGCGTGCGAGCACGCGGCGTCACCGCAACGGGTCGCGAAATCGTCGAGCTTCCCGAGGGGAGCACCCGAATTTCGCATGGCCCTCGCCTGCCCGTCCGGGCAGGTCGCGAGGGTCACTAGGACGTCGCGGGCAGCGGGCACGGGAGGGCTGCCTTCGCGCGAGGGTTACTTTCCCTCGCGCGAGGGCTCGCCAGCTCGCCGCCCCCACCCGGTAACGTGGGGCGCTGTTCAATCACGCAGGGGGGTTGCGAGGCGGCGGTCGTGCGCTCGGCCCGGCCCTGGGCCAGGCTGGCGGGCCCGCACGCGCGTCAGTTGCCCGCCTCGTCGGGCCCGGCTCCGACGACCCCCTCTGACGACACCGGCAAATCGGTTCCGACGACCGATTTGCGCTGGGATGTTCAGCTTGGTTTTTCTGCCTCTCTTGGCTGACTAGGTTTAGAAAGCGGGTTGGGGGAGGAGGGGGGAGGGGGACTGGGTCATTGGCAAATTTGGTCCAGATTGGAAACTGGACCGTCGATGACAACTGCTGGGAACGGTGCAGATTATACCTCAGATTTGGGTTCCAGGTTGGAATGACAATCGTGGAGGGGATCCGCTGTACGATCAGGATGTGATCGGAAAACTGGCGTTTCAGCCGTCGATCTTTCAGATGTTAATGGCTCAGATCGAAAGTGACGTGTGTTCGGTTGGAATTTCAGCCGTCGATATTTGAGATACGGAGATACCCAAGATCCTTCCTTATGCTCTCATTGACTGGATTTCGAACCACTCTGATTTCAGGCGAGGCAGAACCATGTACCCCAAATTCGAATCCAAGCACCTCACCAGTTTTCATTTTCCTAACCTGCTAAACATAGACAGACATTTGGTTAGCCATTTCGTCAGGACGACTCACAAGTCTTGTGTCAGTATCTGTGTGCGACGCTACCCGTATGCGACGCGACCTATAAGCGACGCTACCCGTATGCGACGCGACCTATAAGCGTCCCTACCCGTATGCGACTCGACCTATGAGCGACGCTACCCGTATGCGACGCGACGTATAAGCGACTCTACCCGTATGCGACGCGACCTATAAGCGACGCTACTTGTGTGCATCGCTACCCGTATGCGACGCCACAATTGGATTGCGCTGCCTGATTCCAAGAGTCCATCCGCACCGTTGAATGATGCCGCCCCGCGCCGCTGGATGGGTCGCACATTTACGTGGTGCGAAACGGATATGGTACGGGCATTTGGATAGCCGTTTGGACGACTCGAAGCTCCCGGATTCGCTATCCGCATGCCACACTGTCTGCGCGCGACGCTCTCTGCGCGCGTCACAATCTGCATGCGATGCTATCCGCGTGCGACGCTATCCGCGGGCGACGCTATCCGCGTGCGAAGCTCTCTTCGTGCGACGCTCTCTTCGTGCGACGCTCTCTATGGGCATCACCGCTCCTGCGCGCGTCGCTTTCCGCGTGCGACGCTATCCGCGTCCGACGCAACCGATAAGCGACGCTGCTTGTGTGCATCGTCACCAAACGATTTCTCCATGCATATGCTTTCATTTCCCCGCTTGCTTCTTCCCTCCTCCAATCTGCAGGTGCGGGGGTGGGAGCCCGTGCGCTGCTTTGGCGCGGTCAGCATGGGGTGGTGGACGGTGCGAGTAACACTCCTCATTCTTCACCTCTCTTCACCTCTCTCTACCGCTTCACCTCTCTGCAGGTGCGCGGGTGCGAGCCCGTGCGCTGCTTTGACACGGTCAGTGTGGGATGGTCCAAGGTGGTATGAAAAGGTTTTATAGATAATGCGCTATACAAAATTATTGAAGCAATATCAGACAGTTATCATCTCAGCTTGGCCTGGCCTACCTTAAACCAAAACATTTATTTTCTCCAAAGGAGCGTCAGCTTACAACCCCTACACCTCTCACATTGTGTTAATTTGCCTTGTTTGATTGGGTGTAAAAACGGTCATTGCATCTTCTGCATACGGTATGCACATATGAAGCAAGGGGAGTGAGTGGCAGTGCGAGCAGCAGTGATGGGACCACTGAACGCCCTCAGCAGCTCACACCTCCCCCCACACCGCGTCATTGCCAAATTCCAGGAGAGTGCGTGGCATGCGAGCAGCAGTGATGGGCCCACTGAACGCCCTCAGCAGCTCACACCTCCCCCCAACACCGCGTCATTGCCTAATTCCAGGAGAGTGTGTGCCGGTGCGAGCAGCAGTGTTGGGCTCACTGAAACCCCTCAACAGCTCACGTAGCAAGGACAGCTCCTTTCCGACGGGCCACGTACCTGTGAGGGGAGGGAGGGTGGAAGGATGGAGAGAGGGAGTAGTGATGGGTGGGAGATTGGAAGGCGGGACAGTGATGGGCTGTCTGAATGCCCTCAGCAGCTCATGTAGCAAGGTCAGCGCCACTCACACGTACCTGTGGGGGGGGAAAGGAGAGGGAGGATGGAGGGAGGAAAGGAAGGGGGCCAGTGATGGCTGACTGAACGCCCTCAACAGACCACGTAGCAGCGACAGCGCCATTTCCATGTATCTGTGGGCGGGGAGAGGCGGGAGGAAAAGAGATAGGAAACAGAAAAGAGGAATTGACACTCAGGAGACTGTGAAGCAGTAACAGTGCCACGTCAAATGCATTCGGTGGGAGGGGGAAAGGAAAAAGGGTGTAATTGGCACTCCACTGGGTGAAAGAAAGAAAGATTGCGTCAAAACATGCCCTTCGCTTGTAGTGTGGACTCTGCTTCACATTACAACAGACGGTGGCAGAGGCCTGGGAAAGCAAGACTTGACCTCTTGACAGCACTGCTCAGCACCACTCAGAAACGTTCCAGAAGACACAGCACAGCAGAGCAGAGCCCTCAGCAGCGGCTGCAACTGCAAGGCCCCCTCCATGCCCACTGAGACCAGCCGACTGCCTCCCTGCATGGCCAGCACCTCAAGGACGTCTGTCACCACCTGAGGCACAGGCGAATCAGGAAATAGAAAGCGAATGAAAGCCGGGAGGGCAGTGAGTGGAGCCCACTGATACCTCTTGCCTGCCTCCCTGCATGGCCAGCACCTCCACCACGTCTGCCACCACCTAAAGCACATGGGGGAATGAGGGAAAAGAGATGGGTACACCCTTCACAGCTACAATGCTCCTTCCATGCCCTCCAACACCAGGCGCCTGGCTGCCTGCATTGCCAGCACCTCTTGCACGTCTGCCACCCCCTGAGGTGTGGGGGATGGGGAGGAAGAGAAAAGAGTGCAACGCCAGCACCTCTTGCACGTTTGCCACCACCTGAGGCACACTAGAGAAAACGAGGGAAGCAGAGGGGATTGGAAAAGAACACAGCAAGTAGAGCAGTGGCTACAGCCCTCAACAGCAGCACTGGGTGCTTAGGGGGCAGCACCAGGTGCTGAGGGCAGCAGCGGGTCTCCCTGTTGTCGTTATGAGGGGATGGGAAACACCCGTCTCCAGGCCAGGACGTACCCGTATGGCTACTAAGAAGCTGACTGCAGGAGCTGATGTAGCAGAGCAGCAGCTTGGGATAGAGGAGGCATTGCTGATTCTACCGCATGGCTATGATCCGGATGAAGAGGATGAACCTGCCTACTGTTTTCTTGCCCCTGCACCAGAGGAACCAGCTAGCATGGAGGAGCCATTAGCTGGACCAGATAGGGAGAAGTGGCTGGTTTCCAGGGATGCTGAGTACCAGAGCCTGCTAGAGAATGGGACATGGGAGCTGGTGGTGCTGCCTGAGGGGAAGAAAGCCGTACAGTGCAAGTGGGTGCTAAGGATCAAGACCGATGACAAGGGACAGGTCACCATCTACAAGAGTAGGCTGGTGGCTAAGGGGTTTATGCAGAAGGAGAAGCAGGACTTCAATGAGATCTTTGCTTCCACTACCAAACCCCCTACCCTCCGTGTCTTGTTGGCAGATGCAACCGTTAGTGGAAAATTCATCATTCAGATGGATATATCAACGGCATTTCTTAATGGGGTTTTAGAGGAGGATGTGTACATGACGCAGCCGCCTGGGTATGAGGATGGTACGGGCAGGGTGTGCAAGCTGAAAAAGTCCATCTACGGCTTGAAGCAGGCGCCACGCTGCTGGTACCAGAAGTTGACAGCTGTTTTAGAGGAGATGGGATTCAGGACCAGCAGCTGTGATGAGAGCCTCTTTCTCAAGGGGGAGGGGGAGAAGCTGGTGCTGTTTCTGGTCTACGTGGACGACATTCTTCTCTTTAGCAGCAGCATGAAGGAGATCCAGAATGTGCAGCAGCAGCTGATGGAAAACTTCAAGTGCAAGAACCTTGGAGAGGTAAAGTACTACCTCGGGATGCATGTGGAGAGGGATCCAGATCACAGGTGGTTGAAGCTGCACCAGGAGAAGTTCATCAAGGAGCTGGGGGAGAAGTACGGGATTGAGAATGAGCGCAAAGTTGCAACTCCCCTGCCAGCAGAATTCAAGCTTGTGAAAGCTGCAGAGGATGAAGGGGTTGAAACCGAGGAGCAGCAGCAATTTCAGTCCTTGGTGGGCAGCCTCTTGTATGCAGCAGTTCACACAAGGCCTGACATCTCTTTCTCGGTGGGGCAGTTGGCTAGGGTGGTGCAGAATCCATC